TCCCGCATCGGGCTCCCTGCTCAGCGGGGAGTCTGCTTCTCCCTCTGACCCTCCCCCCTCTCATGCTGTCTCTCTCTCTATCTCATTCTCTCTCTCAAATAAATAAAATCTTAAAAAAAAAGAAAAGAAAAGAAACAGATAGTTCAGACATGACACACTACCCTCCTTGGCTCAAGGCAGCCAGAGTCTTCCAGCCACATTGCTGCTTGGGGAGCCCTGGGATTCCTTTTCCACACAACCACTGTAGAGTGATACTATGTGCAAATTAGACTCTAGACTGAGCTCCCAGCTGCCTTGCTTCATCTCTGTGCCAAACAACTAACGTGCAAACAAACTTTTGGAGCACAGCTCTGCTATTTCTGCCATCCTTCCTTCTCTGATTTTCTATTCTCTTTGTTCTAGATCTGGCCTTCTGATGTTCAAGTGAGCGGTACTTCAGGGGTCTTTTTCCCTGTTACCCACTCAGTCTGTGTACCTTGGGGAAAGGCAAAGCAGGCAAAAATTACTTGTCTTTTTTCTTTGGGTTCTTGGTTCATGGTTTACATGGGTCTTAATTAAGTCTCCTGGGAGTGACCCTAGGCTGATCCTTAACCAAGAATTTCAGTCATCCTAGCCAGCCTCTTCCTACCTGTCCGCTTGGGATTCCACATCACCCTGGTCTCTTCTTGCAACAAGTACTCCGGAAACTGCCTTTGCCCGGGCTTGCCCTGGCTATCCCTTAGGTGATTCCCATTACCTTGCTTACTATAAAAGGAAGATGGTCTCAGCTGAGCGAGACCAATACTCATAAGACCTGGGCTTTTGCAAATGATTAATGGGCTCCTGCCGAGCTTATATCCCATGAATGGTGAAGGTAATCAGTATTCAAACCAACCCACTTGAGTTGGAAGGTATGATTTTTAGGTTACACAAAGAGAGGGCTCACCAAGGGAAAGGAAGACTGGCTCCAAGATCATTCTCGGTGGTCTGTGCCATCCGTGACATCCCCTGCAGACCTGTTTCTCTGGCTTTCCTGTCATCTAGACAGTGACCTTTAACACGCCCGCTTGACTTTTAGGAAGCCTTGCAGTGTTTGCACATT